AATAGGAAAACATTTTTTGCTATCTACCCATCTGACAAAGGGCTAATATCTAGAATCTACAAAGAACTTAAACAAATTTACAAGAAAAAAAAACTAACAATCCCACCAAAAAGTGGGCAAAGGATACGAACAGACACTTCTCAAAAGAAGACATTTATGCAGCCAACAAACAAATGGAAAAAGCTCATCATCACTGGTCATTAGAGAAATGCAAATCAAAACTGCATTGAGTTACCATCTCACACCAGTTAGAATGGCAATCATTAAAAAATCTGGAGACAACAGATGCTGGAGAGGATGTGAAGAAATAGGAACACTTTATACTGTTGGTGGGGGTGTAAATTAGTTCAACCATTGTGGAAGACAGTGTGACGATTCCTCAAGGATCTAGAAATAGAAATAACATTTGACCTAGCAATCCCACTACTGGGTATATACCCAAAGGATTATAAATCGTTCTATTATAAAGACACATACACACATATGTTCATTGTGGCACTGTTTACAATAGCAAGGACTTGAAACCAACCCAAATGCCCATCAGTGATAGACTGGATAAAGAAAATGTGGCACCATGGAATACTATGCAGCCATAAAAAAGGATGAGTTCATGTCCTTTGCAGGGACATGGATAAAGCTGGAAATGATCATTCTCAGCAAACTGACACAAGAACAGAAAACCAAACACTGCATGTTCTCACTCGTAAGTGGGTGTTGAACAATGTGGACACATGGACACAGGGAGGGGAACATCACACACCGGGGCCTGTTGAGGGGTGGGGGAGCTAGGGGAGGGATAGCAGGGGGTGGGGGAATTGGGGAGGGATAACATTAGGAGAAATACCTAACGTGGATGACGGCAGAGTGATGGATGCAGCAAATCATCATGGCATGTGTATACCTATGTAACAATCCTGCATGATCTGCACATGTACCCCAGAACTTAAAGTATAATAATTTAAAAAAAGATAGTCAATATCATTAGCCATTAGGGAAATGCAAATTAAAACTACAAATTAAAACTTACCGACATATACCTAGTAAGATTAATAAAACAAAAAAGTGACATCAAATTTTGGTGAGGCTGCAAATAATCACTCATATTTTGCTAGTGGGAATAAAAATGAAATAGCCACTCTGGAAAAGTTTGGCAGATTCGGAAAAATTAAACATGCAACTACCATATGGCTTAGCAATTGCACTTCTGGGCTTTCATCTCTAAGAAATAAAGACTCATGTTCACACGAAAACCTAGACACAAATTTTATAGCAACTTTATTCATAATTAGCTCAGATGTCCTTCAACTGGTAATGGTTAAACACACTGTGGACATTATGGAATACTGCTCAGCAATAAAAAGACACAAACTGCTGATACAGGCAGTGAACTGGGTAAATCTCCAGAGAATTATGCTGAACAACAACAACAACAACAACAAAATGCCAATCCCAAAAGATTACATGCTATAGTTCTCCTTTATATTACAATCTTGAAAGAACAAGTTTATAAAATGGAAAACTAATGAAGTATAGGAGGGGCGGAAGCAAGTAGAAATTTAGTGTGCCTGTTAAAGAGCAACATGAGGGATTCTTACGGTGATGGAAGTGTTCTGTATCTTGACTGTAACAATGCCAATATCTTGGTAGTAATTTATTATAGAGTTTTGCAACATTTTACCTTTTGGGGAAACTGAGCAAAAGGCACAGAGAATCTGTTTTAAAAGGTTGATTGCTATACTTTGGATGTTTGTCTCCCAAGCCTCATATTGAAATTTGATCCCTAATGTTAGAGGTTGGGCCTATGAGAAATGTTTGGGTCCTGTGGTTGAAAGTGAATCCCTCGTAAATACACTAATGTCCTCTCTGTGGGATGGTGACTTCTCACTCTAAGTTCTTTTGTGATATGGTTTGACTGTGCCCCCACTCAAATCTCATTTTGAGTTGTAGTTCCCAGAATCCCCACATGTTGTGGGAGAGACCCAGCGGGAGGTAATTGAATCATGAGTCAGTTACCCTCATGCTGTTCTTGTTACACTGAGTTCTCATGAGGTCTGATGGTTTTATATGGGGCTTTTCCCCATTTTGCACAGCACTTCTCCTTGCTGCCACCATGTGATAAAAAAACGTTTGCTCCCCCTTTTGCCATGATTGTAAGTTTCCTGAAGCCTCCAGCCATGTAGAATTGTGAGTCAATTAAACTGCTTTTTTTCTTTTTTTTTTTTACAAATTACCCAGTGTCCAGTATGTCTTTATCAGCGGTGTAAGACTGGACTAATACACCTTGGGAGCTGGTATTTAAAAAGAGCCTCCCTCTCCACTCTTTTGCCTCCTCTTTTACCATGTGATATCTTTACAGGCTGCTCCCCTTCCCCTTCCACCATGAATGGAAACAGTTTGAGGCCCTCACCAGATGCAGGTGTGGGCACCGTGCTTCTTATACAGCCTGCAGAGCATGTGCCAAATAAATCTTTCTTTATAAATTATCCAGCCTCAACTGTTCCTTTAGCAATGCAAATAGACAAAAACAGTGATAGAGGGAGATAAAGTTTTTTTTATTGTTGTTGTCTTCAAAATTACTGACAAAGAATAAAATGGGGTGTCAAGATTTGACACATACACATTATTTCATAAAGACATATTTAAAAATCATATCCCAATGTCATTATTTGAGCATCAGCTGTAGTTAGGTAGTAAAGTATAGCATCAGGTTTTTGATAACTGGTTGCATTATTCATCAACAACACTAAGTCACCAACCTTAAAACAACACAACAATGAATTTAATAAATGAACAATGGAAAGTTATCAAGACCATTCATAAAGTTAAAAGGGCGCCCGGCATAGTGGCTCACCCCTGTAATCTCTGCACTTTGGGAGGCTGAGGCAGGCTGATCACTAGAGGTCAGGAGTTTGAGACTAGCCTGGCCAACGTGGTGAAACTCCGTCTCTACTAAAAATACAAAAATTAGCCAGGTATGTTGGCACACATCTGTAATTCCAGCTACTTGGGAAGCTAAGGCATGAGAATTACTTGAACCTGGGAGGCGGAGGTTACAGCGAGATTACGCCACTGCACTCCAGCCTGGGCAACAGAGACTACTTCAAAAGGAAGGAAGGGAGGGAGGGAAGGGAGAGAGAGAGAGAAAGAGAGAGAAAGAAAGAAGGAAGAAAGGAAAGAAAGGAAAGGAGGGAGAGAGGGAAGGAGGAAGGGAGGGAGGGAAAGAAAAAAGAAACAGAAAGGAAGGAAGGAAGGAAGGAAGGAAGGAAGGAAGGAAGGAAGGAAGGAAAGAAAGAGCTAAATGGAATGTCTTGAATATTTTAAAATCTTACATTAACAACAAATAAGAGTCTGAATGGCTTATTCTGCATAGGAAAATCAGATAGATCTTGGAAGAAAAAAGTTTTTAAATTTTTGTGCACTATTTGAAATGACTATGGAATGCTTTGTTTCAATCAATAAAAAAAGAAATGTGAAACTGGCTTATCTTATAGATACACTTAAAATGTCAGTGGAGTGAGGGGTAACAAGAAGAAAAAATAAATAAAAATAAAAAATAAAATGTCAAAGTCCTCCTTAAACTTCAAGAAGATAAAATCAATGTCCTTAAAATGAACAAATTTTGATGAATTCATCAAAAACTTTATATTGTGTTAACCTCATTTACAAATACATTTCAAATTTCCATCTTTGCATCAGTTAAGTAAGGATAGGCTTAAAGAGATTTAGAAATATGATTTTATTCAAAAATAGTTTTTAAAGTTATGATTAGATTTAAAGATATGTGTGATCAATCAGTTAGTAATTATTTAGAATAAGATGTCAATATTTACAGGATAATGCAGGCAGGTAAGACAGCTGTTCTACCATAGCATGATTTAACTGGTGTAATTAGGAAAGGTTTTAGTTATAATTCAAACGTCATATCCACTTTTTTTTTTTTTTTTTTTTTTTTGAGATGGAGTCTTACTCTGATGCCCAGGCTAGAGTACGGTGGTGTGATCCCAGCCCACTGCAACCTTCGCCTCCAGGGTTCAAGCGATTCTCGTGCCTCAGTCTCCAGAGCAGCTGGGATTACAGGCACCCGACACCACACTAGGCTAATTTTTGTATTTTTGTAGAGATGGGGTTTCATTATGTTGGCCAGGCTGGTCTCGAACTGCTAACCTCAAGTAATCTGTTTGCCTTAGCCTCCCAAAGTGCTAGGAAGATACACTTCTAATAACAGCATTTCCAACTACAAATTTGGTTGAAACCGTTGAAACTGCTATTGCAGTAACAACAAAGGTAACAAGAGGTAAACTAATATGTAGCAGGAGATTTGACTTTTCATCTAGAGTTAGAATATTATTAAATTTGTGTAGATATTTGCATTGGCGAAAATCCCATTTTGTTCATGTCGTTTTTAAATAAAGTGACTTATTTAAAATTTAGTTGCATTTTAAAAATCTGTGTTATGGGAGTGGTAACACTGACTCCAGGCAGGGAGATGAGACCATTGTGAGAGAGGCGGGGATGCAGCTGAGCGGTCCTCCCGGTCCCCCAAGGCCCGGCGGTGGCTCGATGGGCGGGAGAGCGCTCCCTGGAGGGCTTGTTGGTTCCCGGCTCTTTGGCCCGCGGGAACCCACGCCGTCAGCCTGCGGCCCCGCCAGCGCAGACCAATCCTTTCCTCGTTTAACCAGTATTAAGCCACGCCGAGTGCTAAGTACCGTTGCCAGGCAGCAGCTAGACAACTCGCTGAGGCAAAATAGGGGAACTAAGGAAGAATGAGGGACCCCAAAGTCAACTTGGTGGCATCATACGCAGGAGTCGGACCCACGGCCCCCGCGCCACAGAGCCCGGGGTGGGACAGCCTGGGCGGGGCGGGGTAGGGGTGGGGCCTCCCGGGCCTGGGCGGGGAGGGGCGGGGTAGGGGGTGGAGCCGCCCGGGCCGGGGCGGGGCAGGGGCGGGGCCTGTCACCGGGGAAACCGCGTCCCAGCAGCTGCGCGCGCAGTTTAAACCCCTGCCCGCCGCGCGACAACCGCCTCAGAACGCCGGTTGGGGCCGACGCGTCTCGGAGACTCAGGGACGCCAAGGCCCCTGCGACGAGGTGGCAGCAGCTCGGCCGGAGGCGTCAGGACGACGAGCGGCTTCCGGTGGTTGGCGCGCAGACCTGAGGGAGCTGGGCCCCCCTTCTCCGCCCGCGCCCCAGGCCCTTGCAGACCGGGATTCGCGTCCTGGGGTGAGAAAGCAGCAGTGGCCGGACCGCCGGTAAGTCAAGGCCCGTCCTCACCCGCCGCCGGGTTCGGGTCCGCCTGGAGAGCGGGCCGAGGGTCACCGGCTGCAAACAGCGCCGCGGCCCAAGCAGACTCCGACCGTAGTCGCTTTTTCTTTCTTTATTATTTTTTTTCCAATATATATTTTTGAGACACGGCCTCTCTCTGTCGCCCAGGTTGGAGCGCGGTGGCGCGATCTCGGCTCCCTGCAGCCTCCGCCTCCGGGGTTCGAGCGATTCTCCCGCCTCAGCCTCCCGAGTAGCTGGGGTTACAGGTGTGCGCCACCACGGCCGGCTGATTGTTGTGTTTCGAGTAAAGACGCGTTTCCCCATGTTGGTCAGACTGGTCTCGAACTCCTGACCCCAGATGATTTGCCCGCCTCGGCCTCCCAGAGTGCCGGGATTACAGGCGTGAGCCAACAACCCCCGGCCTACGGCAGTGGCCTCTGAGGGCCGCTCAGGCACCGCCTGCTTCTGGCTTGGAGAGGGGGGAAATTAACCATAAAGTAGCCTTGAAGGGATCCGTGTTCAGGCCTGCCACCTTTGCAGATGTCGGCGTTGTCCCCACTAGGGTCCCTGGAATTACCCAGGATGTGAGCGGCACTGATTGATTCATCAGCGGTTTTCAGCAAAACAGGTGTCTTACCTGCCTGCCTCGTCTGCTCATCGCCTCTTTCCGAGGCGTTCTCACAGGCGCAAACACTTTCCATTAATTCCAATAAGCAAGATTTTGGAGTCTCCTTTAAGGTCTTGCGACCGGGTTGCAGGACGCGGGGGAGGCTCAACTCCGGGATGGGCTGTGCCCCACGTGCTTAGGTCCTTGGGCTCTCCTCCACCCGAGAATGGATAGGAAACCCTGGCGCCGTGATATTGTTCAAGTAAATATCGGACCCCAAGAGCTTTTACAGAAAGGCGATTTATTAGGCAGAGAGAAAGAAAAGTAAGGAGAGAGAGAAAGCCAGCCCCCACGCTGTCGTGGAAGGGGATCCCAGAGAGGGAAATCCGCACAGGTGAGGGGCAGGGGGTCTTTTAATCTGGGAGTTATTCCTGCCCCATCCAAGTTATTGTCCCATGAGAGTAGTCCCTTCAAACTTCCACTGGAGTGATTGATCTTTGACTTGACATGGGATTGGCTCTGTTCCGCCCACAGTCCTCCCATAGCTTTTCGCTGCCTTTTCTAAACAAAGGAAGCTCACCTGGGAAGTCCACCTTCCCTCACGAGGTAAAGCTAAACAAAGACCTCTAAGCTCCTGGATGGAGACGTGAAAGAAGGCAGGTTGAGCACAACGCTGGAAAGTTCTTGCCTCTGAAACCACGCCCCTTGTGGACCCGGGAAGAGAAGTTAATACATTCTCTCAGTCCCGGTTTCTGAAAGATAGCCCAAGGAGTCTCTCCATTTCCTTGCCTTTTACACGTCGGGATTCCTCCAGAGACATAAACCCTGACTGACCAGGACCCCCGAGTAGCTGGGATTACAGGTGCCCAACACCATGTCTGGCTCATTTTTGTATTTTTAGTAGAGACGAGGTTTTACGATGTTGGCCATTGTTGGCCAGGCTGATCTTGAACTCCTGACCTCAGGTGATCTGCCTCCTTGGCCTCCCAAAGTGCTGGGATTGCAGGCATGAGCCACCACACCCAGCCGATTTTTCTTTTTCTTTTTTGGAGACAAAGTCTTACTCTGCTGTCTAGGCTAGAGTGCAGTGGTGCAATCTCAACTCACTGCAACCTCTGCCTCCCAGGTTCAAGTGATCCTCTTGCCTCAGCCTCCCGAGTAGCTGGGATATAGGCACATGCCACCACACCCAGCTAATTGTCTTTTATTTTTAGTAGAAACAGGGTTTTGCCACGTTGGCAGGCTGTTCTCAAACTCCTGACCTCAGGTAATCCACCTGCCTTGGCCTTCCAAAGTTCTGGGATTACAGGTGTGAGCCACCACACCTGGCCCTCTCTTTTTTGAGAAACAGTATCGTTCTTTTGCCCCGCTGGAGAGCATTTACTCAGTCATGACTCACTGCAACCTCAACCCTCTGGGCTCAAGCCATCCTCTTGCCTCAGCTTCTATCACAGGCATGCCTCACCATGCCGAGCTAATTTTTAATTTTTTTCTAGAGATGAGGTCTCACTACGAGAAACATACTCAGGCTGGCCTCAAACTGCTAAGCTGAAGCAATCCTCCCACCTCCCAAAGTGTTAGGATTGCAGATGTAAGCCACTGTACCAGCCTAAAGTCTCATTTTTAATTTAAAATATTTTATCAATCTTTATATTAATTACATGCTTACAACATATTTTAAATACATGAGATTAAATAAAATATATTGAAATTAATTTCACCTGTCCCTATTTACTTTTAACATGACTCCTAGAAAATTTTAAATTATACCTCTATATAGGGCTCACGTTATACTTCTTTTGGAAAAAACTATTATAAAAGTTTTGAGGGCTGGACGCGGTGGCTCACACCTCTAATCCCAGCACTTTGGGAGGCCAAGGCAGGCGAATCACCGGAGGTCAGGAATTCAAGACCAGTCTGGCCTCTATGGTGAAAACTCATGTCTACTAAACACACAAATTAGCCGGGCGTGATGGCAGGCACCTGTAATCCCAGCTACTTGGGAGGCTGAGGCAGGAGAATCACTTGAATTTGGGAGGTGGAGGCTGCAGTGAACCACGATCATGCCATTGCACTCCAGCCTGGGCAACAGAGCAAGACTCTGTCTCAAAAAAAAAAAAGTTTTAAGATACTGGAAACTTCTTATAATGTTCAGAAAAATTGCCTTCCCCACTCCCCTCAAACCTCACATTGACCCTTATTATCTCCTAGAAAATACCACTACCTACTCTTATCCTATGTAATCCATATCAAACAACCTTACTAACCCAGCTCAACTCAAAGGCTTTGGTAGTTAAAGAACCATAGGCTAACTACAGATGGTCTAGGACTGCAGAATTACAGTCACTTTTAAGAGAGAGGCTCAAACTTCCCTCAGCTTTTGCATTAGAACCAATTCAGTTCCTGGCAGACCTATCTCTACTGCTTTGGCTGTTTGATTGTCCAGTTTTGCATAAGTGAACTGTAAATCATAGAGAAGGGAAGAAAGATGTCATCAAGGAGGGTGGTCACCTCCCCATCTTTCACTCCAAATTATATTGTTACAGACTCTGGTATTACAGCATCCTTGGCCTGACTTCTTTTTAACAGTCACACCACTTTAAAGAGTAATTAGCTTTAGTGAAGACATTGCCCAATGCTCTAGTCTGAAGTATAGATAGGGACAGAAAATTATCTGTAAATGTAAGCTCTCACTTGGGCAATCTCCTTTAGTTATGGAATATAAAATGAGTGTACTCCAATATCTCAATCTTTAGTGTTTTGAATGGCTCTCAAAAGCAGTGTGATGAGAGATGTTAGCTGCAAATCAGTGTACTGGATGAGGTCCTAATCCAGTTCTCCCAGAGCCTCTAGTTCATGGAAAGAGTTCTTGCTCTGTTAGTTCACATGAGTGCTGGTTGTTCAAAAGAGGCTGGCATCTCTTTCTTGCTCTCTCTCTCGCCACGTGGCATGCCTGCTCCTCCTTTGCCCTCTACCAAGAGTTAAAGCATCAGAAGCCTAGCAGATGCTGATGCCATGTTTGTACAGCTTGCAAAACCATAAGCCAAATAAAACTTTATAAATTGCCCAGCCTCAGGTATCCCTTTACAGCAATGCAAAATGGATTGACACACTTGGTTTATGTCTTCCTATGGAAAGATATGGCTCTGTTTGTGAGCTACCTCATCCAGGAGTGTGTTTTGCCTACTCACTGCAGACCCATCTGTATTAGTCCATTTTCACGCTGCTGATGAAGATATACCCGAGACTGGGCAATTTACAAAAGAAAGAGGTTTATTGAGCTTACAGTTCCACATGGCTGGGGAGGCCTCACAATCATGGTAGAAGGCAAGGAGGAGCAAGTCACATCTTATGTTGATGACAGCAGGCAAAGAGAGAGCTTGTGCAGGGAGACTCCGCCTTTAGAGCCATCAAAACTCTTAAGACTTATTCACTATCACAAGAACAATAGAGGCAGGACCTGCCCCTATGATTCAATTACCTCCCACCAGATTCCTCCCATGACACATGGGAAGTGTAGGAGTTACAATTCAAGATGAGATTTTGCTGGGGACACAGCCAAACTGTATCACTGTCCCATCATGAGGCTCCGTCTCAGCTGTGCTTCTGAACTGCTTTGCCTCAGGAGCCACAGTATTTGATAAAGCCTTACAAGCTGGGTCTCCACTCTGTAGACACCTGCAGGTGACTGAAATGAGATTGCTCCATCAGAGTGGGAGGATCTACCTTCATATAGCCATATAATTTCTTAAGAAATTAATAAAGTTTTAAGCGAAAAAGCCTTGGCAAGTTGAGTTGGGAAAGAATGTCTACCACTAGCTCAAATTACTGCCTTTCTGAGGCTTCCCTTTCAGCCAACATGCAAAGGTCCATCTTATATGCAACAGCACCTTTCAGCCATGATCAACTCAGCACTCTGAGATAGGATAGAGGTGTGTACACCACAGAATGCAAAATGTTTGGGAATCCCTAGAAGCATAACAGGCAGGAACTGTAAGTTGAAGCTCAAGCATTCTTCTTAGCACTGAATAAGGTTTAGGTCTTGTCCTGATCTCTAGCTTTTGGTAGTGAAGCTATCTGGCCCATAATTTTGTTACAAGATATTTAACTACAAATTCCACATCTTTAATAGACATAGAACTACTTAGATTTGCATGTACATGAGCTCTGGTAGTATCAATCTTATAAGGAATTTGTCCACTTCCTTACAAGACTTAGATGACCAAGTTGACTTTATGGGCATATGATAATTTGTGATATTGTTCTATCCTTTTAATGTCCTGAGACCTGTAGCATTGTCCCCATTTTCATTGCAAATGTTGGTAATTTGTGTCTTTTTTTCTTATCAGTCAGGCTAAAGTAGTTTGGGCACTACTGACA